TAACATTTATGATAGAGCTTAGCCTTCAGACCAATCAACTTTTTTGCCTTCTTTGAACATTTATGAGCCTCTGGACGTTCCTTCTTTCTCTCTTTCTCATGGTAATCCAAATGGTATCCATAGCATTTATGATGTAATTCAATGTATTTGTTTTGTGGCATAGTGACAGCTACAGAGTTGCAGGGAGCAATCTTCCGGATCCAAAGAAGTTGTCAACTTTCAGGTCTCAGAGACCAACCAGAAATCCTATTTCCTTAAAAGATATTTTTGCTATAGGGCAAGTGTGCTCACCGAAGAGAGAGAAACAGACAGAGAGAAATGACTCCCAGGGGGGATGGCCACGCTGCAATCCCTTCTCCTCCATTTTCCTCTTAGAACTTTGGACACACACACACACACGCACACGCGCATGCACACCTGGCATAAATTTCAAGCCACTGGGTCCAGCACCTTAACCACTATGCCACCTACTGGTCCCAGAAATCCTGTATTTTGTATGGTTATATATGTTTTCACTGTGGGTTATAGTATCAAAAAATTTTTTTAATTAATTAATTTACAGTCATTCACTATACATCAATACAGTATACAAAATGAATTTTCCATCCAGTATACATTGTATATTGGCTCAATCAAGGATATTATTATACATGTTATCATCAACTAATAATTTTCTATTTCTTGTTTCTTATATATTTTGTTTTTCCTTTTTCCCCCCTTGACTGCCTACCCCTCTCTCGCCCTCTGCCAACATCCCCCTTCTCCCTCACTGTCTCTGGTATATACAGTTGTTTTCCATGCCATTTTTTCACATTTTATTGATTAACTAAAGATCTTAATTAATTAAAAGAGTTTCAATATCAAGTACAGCTGATATATACATATTTAAAAATGCATGTCTGATTTTAGGCATAAACCTCATTGAGTAAAGTGAACATACTATAAAGTAGCACCTTGCTGGGGCTATGTAGCTTACTGAAGTAATTAAATAGGTATTAATAGGTATTTTCAATGCATTTTTAATTTCAAAAGTTTTAGTTTTAATAGATCGAAATTTTAAAATGTTAAGAGAAATTTGCTTAAAACTTAAAGCCAGGAAAAAGGTTAGGTTCATCTTTCTACTATTTGAACTGAATTCTAACGACAGTTCAAGGGAAGACAAAAATCCTTAAATATGGAAATCAGTAATGTTTTTTGTATAAAGTAAAAAAAAATTCTATTTACTAGTTCAGACTCACATAATTAATCTCTCTTCTATGAATGTGTAGTGTTACTGTGGTCTGATCTTTCGATGTAAACTCTGGAAGTTAACATTCATCCTGGACTTGCCCCTACCATTAGGCTGGCCATTCTCTTGGTTGTTTCTTATACTCTTATTTCTGTGTTTCCAACTTTAGTTTTCCTGTATTCCCTTCAGCATTTTTTGGACAGCTGGTTTGGTGTTGGTAAATCTTTCAGGTTTGGTTTATCTGAGAATTTTTTTTTCTATATGAAAGATAATCTTTCTGGGTACAGTAGTCTTGGTTGAAATTGTTTTTCACTTAACACTTTGAATATATATTCCCATTCTTTCCTTGCTTGCATTGTTTCTGATGAGAGGCCCAATATTAGTCTGATGGGACATCCTTTGAAATTAACTTGATGCTTCTCCCTTACCAATTTTAGTATCTTGTCTCTGTTTGTAGTTTTGGTCAATCTGGCTACTATGTGCCTTGGGGAAGATCTTGGGTCGATTCTATGTGGGGTCCTTTGTACTCCTGGGTCTGGATATTTGAGTGCCTCTCTAGGTTTGGAAAGTTTGCTCTAGGATTTCATGGAGTAGACTGTCAATGTCCTTATTAGTTTCTTCACCTTCTGGGATACCAATGATCTGGATGTTTGGGCATTTAATGGTGTCTAGTGTTACTTGTATATTATTCTCATTTTGGGGGGTTATTTTCTTGGTCTTTTTGGTGAATTTTTTTAGGTCAGAGGTTCTATCTTCTACATCTAGGATTCAATCTTCTGCATGGTCTAATCTGCTTTTGATATTTCAAGGGAAGTTTTGATTTTCTGTATTACAGCCTTCATCTCTAACAATTCCATTAGATTTTTTTTTTATGATGTGTATCTCATCTTTCTGCTCATGCAAGAACTTCCTCACCTCCTGGAACTCGGTGTCTCTTTTCTTCTGCATCTTCTGGAGTTTGTTATCTTTCTTCTCTTGCATCTCTGTTAGCTTTTTTAAAAATTTTTTATCTGACATTTCCATTATTTCCATTATGTTCTTTCTGGAGGAAGAGGAGTTATTCTTTTCCATAAGAGAAGAGATATTTTCTTGGTTTTTTATATTTCTTGTCCCTCTGTGGTGGTTTCTGGCCATCAGATGGATTAAATGTTTTTTACTAATTTTTGCTGTTAAATCTGAGCAATCAGAGGAATACAGAACGAGGTGTCTGCAGGCTGTAAACAGTACCATTTTTCTCCCTTTTTACAACTGAAAATTGAGGATTAATCTGACCCTAAAAGTATGCAGAAATTTGGCTACTGAGCACCTAGACCTGTTTAGAAAATAAGAGTATGGAGGATGAGCAGAAAAGTGAGAAAGATAAAAAGAAAAAGAAAAGGAATAGAAAAAAACAAAGCAGAGAAAAAGATTTTTAAAAAAGACAAAAACAAAAAGAAGAGAAGAAAAATTTTTTTTCTGTCAAAAAATGAGAACCTTTGGGACCAGCAGTTAGCGTAATGGCTATGTCACTGGACTCCCATGTAGTCGACCACTGTTCGAGTCCCGGACCCGGTGGCTTAAAACTCACACCAGGTGCGTGTGCGTGCATGCCCAAGATCCCAAGAGGAGAATGGAGGAGAAGGGATTGTGGCGTGGCCATCCCCCCTGGGGGGTGATTTCTCGCTTTCTGTCTCTATGTCTCTCTCTGTCTGTCTGGCAAGCGCACGTGTCCTGTAGCAAAAACCTCTCCAAAAAAAAAGATATCCTTTAGGTGGTTGAAATCCCTAAATGTGACCACTTATAACTGAAATATAGATGGCTGTTGCTTGGCTTATCCTTTGGGGGCAGGGGAAAGGTAAGAATAAGAAAGACAAAAGAGCAGCAGAGAGCTAAACTTAAAAATTAAAAAAAAATTAAAATATATAGAGAGAGATGGAAAGAGACAGAGAGAATAAGTAGGGTGTTCTAACCTGGCTCCTGGCTAGACTGGGGAGCAGAAAGGTTAAGTCTGGGCAGAGAGTATTCAGTGGTTGAAATCCCTAAATGGGGCTGCTTATAATTAAATACAGAGGGTCTCTGATTGGCTTATCCTAGCTCCTTGCTAGACTGGGGAGCAGTAGGGTGAAGTCTGGGCAGAGGGTCTTCAGTGGTTCAAATAGAAAAAAAAAATTTTTTAAAAGAGGTTTTTCCTTGCGGTACATGTGCTTGCCAGAGACAGAAACAGAGAAAGGAAAAGTGAGAAATCACCCTCTCCATGGGGAATGGCCACACTATAATCCCTTCTCCTCCTTTCTCCTCCTGGGACTTTGGAAGCACATGCACTGGGCTTGAGTTTCAAGCCACCAGGTCCAGGACTCCAACCACTGTTGACCACACTTTGAGTCCAGTGTCTTAATAACTAAGCTACCTCCTGGACCCTTAAATTTCTATTTTAGAAGGTTTTTTTCTATTCTAAGTTCACATAGAAATTTTACTACATTTTAATCTATTAATTTTGTAGTTTAACTTTACATATGTAGGTGTTTAACTAATCCTAGAGTCCAGGGTTTTTTTAAAGAATTATTTTATTTAACTTTATTTATTTATTTACTTACTTACTTATTTTAATTTGACCAGGGAGAGACAGAGTGAGAGAGCAAGCGAGAGGGAAAGTGAGAAAGCAAGCCGCCAGATCCAAGACTCAAATCATAGTCAGCCATGTGAGAATCCATCGCCTTAACCACCACGCCACCTGCCGGCCCCTCTAGAGTCCAGTTTTATAATATAAAAAAACACATCTCATAATTATCTCTTACAACTTTTTGTAAGATATTTTTTTCTTGCCCCTAGATGAAATGTTTCGCAAATGTTATTACAGTCATTCTTAAATAATAATAAATGCGGTGGACAAGATCAGCCTCAATTTGCTAAATAAAATGCCCCATTTGGGCCAGATGGTGGCCCATGAAACACAATGCTCTGCAAGACTGACCCACATTGGAAAGTTCCAGATTTGCATTCAGAGAGTTCCTTGAGTACAATAGGCATACACATGCGCATGATACAAAGATGGTGGAAGCTAGGGGTGGATCACAGTGTCAAGACCCTGTGAAGATTCTGTCACTTTCTTGCTCATGGAGGAAATATGTAAACTTAAACAAATATCCAGTACATTGTAATGGTCAGTACTCCACATTGTTTAATTTTTTTTCTGGACTGGCTTAGTAGCACAGCAATTAAGCTCTGCACATAGGGAGCTTGAACCCATAGAGCCAACCGTGGTTCCAATGCTGGCACTGGCAGCATGTGCTACCATGCCCCAAATACTGATAGGATAGAGAAATGTAGGGGCAAGGATTGAAGCATAAACACAACCCATTCACAGGTGTTTTTTTTTTTTTTCCTCTCTCTCTTGCTCTCTCTCTCACACACACTTTTTAACTCTCTCTCTGATGAGCTCATGTGGCCTTTGTCAATGAAAGAAAAATAAACTTCCTTACAACTGAAAATTATTTAAAGATTCTTCTGGGCCAGCCCAAGGTCTGGTGGTTAAGGCAGCTAGACCCTACATGGTCAATTTTGTGGTTCAAGTCTCAGACCCATGGTTTAAGAAACACTCTGGATGCACATGCATGGAGCAGAAGGGATTGCTGCATAACTATTTCCCATGGGAGGGGGTGCTTTCTCCCTCCCCCCCCTCTCTGGCAAGTGCATATGTCCCCTGGGGGTAAAAATCTTCCTGCATAAAGGAAAGAGAGTGTGTGAGCACTTTTTCTATTTCCCCCTTCACGTTCTTCTCATGTTCTTCTTACAGATTGTCTCATCCTCCCTAGAATAGAAGGTAAAAGGGAATAAAAGGTAAGAGAGAAGACTAGTCTTACTTAACTGGTATTGTAATCAGTGTTTGGTTTTTCTTTTGCCTTGGTGAATAGTCAAAGCTGATCTTTTTTCTTATTGTCAGGTACTTTTCTGGATTTCTGAGCAAAAAATTTTGCTGGAGATCTTTAACTACATGGAAGCCACGATATTCAAACATCCTCTTTACAGAGGCCACTTAAAATCCTTACATTACCCTTTGGGATATAGTGGTCAGTCTTTTCTAGTGGGTTACATTGAGTGTCCAGAAATTCTCTAGGATAGGATCCAAGATTACCTAAGGTTAACTCCCTTTTGGGAACCGACTTTCAGTCACCACATGAGAATTAGGCTCTTTCCATTTCCCCTAAAAGCTAAGGGAAAAGTGAAAGATTTTCTTCTTCTTTTTTTGCTTTCAGAATATATTTTAGCATGCCGTTTGTTTGTTTGTTTGTTTTATGAAAGAATTATTTGTTTTGGGACCAGCAGATGGCATAATGATTATGTCACTGGACCCCTATGTAGTTGACCATAGTTCGAGTCCAGGACCTTGTGGCTTAAAACTCATGCTGGGTGTGTTTGTATGTGTTCCCAAAATCCAGAGAGGAGAATGGAGGAGAAGAGGATTGTGGTGTGGTCATCCCTTCAATGGAGAAGAGGATTGTGGTGTGGCCATCTCTCTGGTTGGCAATTTCTGTCTTTTTGTCTCTCTGTCTTTCTGGCAAGTGCATGCACCCTATAGCAAAAAATCTAAAATTAAACAAACAAACAAACAAAAAATAAACAAAACAAAACAAAAAACAATTATGTGTTTTATTTTCCTTATTTTAAGATAACTGCATCTGTAACTTTTTATAATTATTGTTTCAGGTGGATCAGAGATTTAAATATAAAAGTTGAAATCATAAAAGTTCTAGAAATAATGTAAAAAAATTTTAATAGCCTCAGGACCTGAGAATTTTTCTAACATAAAACCTAGAGCAAATAATGGAAAACACTGATAAATTAGTTTTTTATTTTTATGTATCAATAATTTTAAATGCCAGAAAAAAATTAGTTGGAAAACATTACTGGCAATATATTTTACAGAAAAGGCAAATTTTCATAATGAAACAGGTACTACAAGTCTATAAGGAAAGAAAATAACCCAAAAGAAAATAGCAATGGATATAGAAATAGATCATAGATGATGAACAAAAATGGCTTTTCAATATGTGTGTTTTTAGCTGCTCAGATTGTCATAACAGTTCAATAGATTAGATGCTTTAACTAATAGAAATATATTAATCTCTTTGTATATTTACATTTAATAATTTTACATTTTACAGCATACAATATGGGCTCTCAAAGCACAAATGCATTCAAAGAATTTTTTTAACTAGATCTAAGAAAGAAAAAGTTAACACTGAGATGTGTTGCTTGAGTTAAACGCATAGGAAAACAATGTACACCCATTAAATTTCTAAGAAATACGAAATAAAAAGATGAATCCTTTGGATAAGTTCTAAGTCTGAACAAAGAAGCTAAATTTGCTACTCTGCAAAAAGTGAAGGGACCTGTTGTACAATATACAGAAATAATGCAGTGCCTTTCACAAGAATGTAAATGGAGCTCTATAAAGCTTCATTTTCCATGAGGGCATCTAAAATATCAATCTATAGGACAGGAACTTTGTTCTTCTCCTATCCATTTATGCAGTAGTTTTCATGGATTTCTGGCTGGATGTTGCAGATGAAAGCCAAGAGGTTATCTAAGACTTCATCCCTGTCTTGTAGGAAGTAGGTCTGGAGGACTGTCATCAACTGGGTCTCCTTTTCCACTTTGGGACTACAACTGCCTTGGGATCCCAGAGTTGCAGCTTCCTTGGCTTTGAACACTTTCTCCCTCTGCAGGGGGTACTGTTCAATGTCAACCTGAGCTTCTTTGGACTGCTTCAGCCTCTGGTTCTTTTGCTTGTGTGCCTTGGACATCTCTGCCGTCCCACCTCTTGGCCTGCAGCAATTGTTAGATCTCCTGGGACTGGCTGGTCATAGTGGCAGTGACTCCTAGGCCCTGGTGAGTGGCCTTAACCTGCTAGAGGGTCCTTTGGGTTGGCTGATTCTGTGGCCCATGACCTGCGCTTGTCCACATTCATCATATATTGAGCAAGAACATTCAAAGCAGAAATTTATTTTCTTACAGTTCGGGAAACTGGAAACCCAAGGTGGTTTCTGGTGAGGTTTGTCTTCTTGGCTTGCCTACAATCATGTTATTGTTCTGTCCTCGTATTGCCTTTCTTTGGTGTGTGAGAGAAGAAAGATCTCTGGAGTCTCTTCCCCTTAGTGTATGAACACTAATTCTGTCAGATTAGGACCTAGCCACATGATCTTCTTGTAACCTTAAGTACTCCTTAACAACCCTGCCTCCAAATAGAGTTGCATTATGTGATAGGGCTTCAATGTGAATTTTTATGAGTGGACTCAATTCAGTCAATAACAATATGAAAAAGATGTTTATCCTCAGTGATAAGAATAAAATGGGGACCAGCCAGTGGCATAGTGGTTAAAGAGCTGAACTCCCACTTAGTTGACCATAGTTTGAGTCCTGGACCCAGAGGCTTGAAACTCATGCTGGGCACATGTGTGTGGGTTCCCAAAATCTCAAGAGGGGACTGAAGGAGAAGGGATTGTAGTGTGGCCATCCCTCCTGGGGGGTGATTTCTTGCTTTCTGTCTATCTCTCTGGAGCATGTGCCCCATAGTAAAAATATCTTTAAAAAAGAGAGAGAGAGAGAGAGAGAGAGAGAGGGAGAGAGAGAGAGAGA